AAAAAAAAAAAAAAAAAAAAAAAAAAAAAAAAACGGTTTTTGATTTTTAACTCATGATTGGCTACGAATTTGAACATGACTCCAAGGCAAAAGTTGCTTGTATTGTTATTTTACATAACATATATTTTTTATTTTTATTTTGTTTAATCTTCGCGTTCGGAGGGTTTTGGGCGCTTGTTGCGTTCGGGCGAACAGGTTCGCATTCGCCTCCGAACACGAACACGGTGCTACGTAGTCTAGGCCCTTATATCCTACTGAAATTCAGAAGTAAACCGCTAGTACACGGCCCCAGCCTTGCAGAAAGCTTTTGTTGCCACAAGCAAAACTAGGAGGCGCTGTGAGGCCAGGCCCGCCGTTGAAAAAAAAAATTGGTGGCCTCCAAAGTGGTGCGGGTTTCATGCTGACACCCACGGGCCGATATGTGGTGTACTGGTGCTTCAAGAATCAAAGTCATAATTTCTCAAAATCATAATTCAGAACGAATAAGGTGAGGGCCCTGAAGAGCCTAATCTCTAAAAATGGTGGGCTATTCACTCAGCTGGTAGAGCGCGCCCCTGATTATTGCGTCGTTGTGATTAGACTGTAGMGGCCTTCAGCCACATAGGTAGTTCGATGTGTTAATCGGCGCCTAACAAGACAGAATTTTCCGATATAACGAACCTTAGCATGGCGTTCTCTGTTTTTCAATCTTAAAGTTGAACCTAAGACGTATAAGACAAGAGGCGGTACAGGTGAAATCTTCTCTAGCATAGAGAAAACTTCACTCAATTCCCTGTGGGGGACAAGGGGCAGTCCAGAGAGAAGTAGGTTCATTGAATTTGACTGAGACACAGAGGAGCGCGGAGTGAGATGGACGAAGTGACTGATGCTCGACCACGATGTGAGGTCCGGCCAGCGAACAGTGCAAGCACAGGACAAGAGACTCGAAATCGATGACAGAGTAAAGATACAAAAGACGCGAAACCAAAAAAAAAAAGAAAAAGAACAAAAAAAAAAAAGGCGCGAAACAGTCCTTCGGGACATCCGTTAAAATTGGAACGATACAGAGAAGATTAGCATGGCCCCTGCGCAAGGGATGACACGCATATATCGAGAAAGGGAAAATTTGTCTGGCGCCCCTGTAATTTCGATTATTTTCCGTCGCGCCCCTCCGATGGCCCACTTACCCTGTCGTGCTCCTCTGACCACGATTCAAATTTCCCATAAAACCCCGGCGTCGGCTGCACCTGAAATATTGTTGTTATGCCCCTACCAGTACCCGTTTCAAATTTGCAGTATGCCCCTACCGGTAGGGTGCATGTTTTCAGCGCACCTCTATGGCCACGGTCATGGCGGCCACTCCATCTCTCTCTCTCTCTCTCTCTCTCTCTCTCTCTCTCTCTCTCTCTCTCTC